AAGTTGAGACTGCATCTGTCGCTGTGGGTGTGTTCCTGGATTAGGTTGGCCGGCAGAACTGAAGCTGCTTACGACAAGGGAGAATGGCAAGGCTTTCTACTGCAGCAAGCTTCTGGAGGAGTCGGCTTCGGGTAGGTGGGGGCGCGACCGGGTTCGGATTTGTATATTGGTCTTGAACCTGAACACTGCACCGTGGAAGGTGGCTAATGGAAGCAGCGCTGACTGTGGAGAAGGCCTACAGCCGCATGTCTCTGCTGCTGTGCCCCACTACCACAAAGTGGTGGAAGCCAGATATCGACATTGAAGCGCCCCCGAAGGAGGCTTTTGTGAACCAGGTCGGAAGTAAAATCTGTGCAGTCTATGGATTCGTAATTTAAGGTAAATGTTTGAGTCATGCGTCTACTCGGTCACCGATTCATTGCATCCTCGTGGCAGCTGGGCGTGGACGCAAAAGACGGCCAAGCTGAGCTGGGCATAGAAGCTGCGCGAGAGCTCGGAGTCTGCGAATTAGATGGCCATGAAATGCGATGGCGAAGTCGACGCTATGTCTTTGCCATCACACAGTATCGTGGCATGCTCTATTTGCCGGCATCTGACGAGACCGTCTTAGTCTCTTGGTCAGACAAAAGCATGTTCGGCCATTGGTGCTCACCGCAAGCCGTAAGTTACGTCCAACGGTTTCTGCGCTGCGAGGTGAAGGGCAACCTTTGCATCGACCCACTTCTGGGCAAGAAAATGGTGCTACCCTTCGAATCCATCAAAGCTCGGAAACAGGGAAAGTGCAACGATCTTGGGTATGGTATCGATGTTGTGCGCACCACGACCAGACCCATGAAGACACCAGGTGCCTGGCCAGTCGGTACCTTTATAAGCGAATGTTGTGTCAACATGTTGAATGGCATACGCCTAATAAAAAAAACAATGAGATGCCCTGTTCGCTTCGGCAGGGTTGTCGTACTTTGTGCTGGCAATGCTGCAGCTTCGTGTGGCATGCGTAGAAGACGAGCAACGGCGATGTGATGTCAGAGAGAAGCTGGAGGAGTGTGGTCCAGTTCGTGTGTTCAGGGTACCACCCTCACCTTTCGTCGTGATAACCTTGCTGAGCCTGCCTTTGCTTGACTCGGCAGGAAATGCCGGAAGAGACTCGCGATTTTAACAAGACTTCCTTGGTGAGCAGATGCTGGCAGCTGGACGGACCCGAACGTCATCCAAATGATCTTGTGCTGGTGGAACGCCGTGCAGCTGTTCCACCACCACGTCTGTCTGCCGGGAGTGTCCGAATGGAACCATGCGAAGACGAGGTGCCGTGCTGTTTTCTTCTTGAAAGGGTCTCTGCGGTCGGCTGTTCCTGTGGAAGCCCGCATACCTTGCAGACTTAGGAGCCGACCGACATAGCGCCACTGCAGCGTGAATGCTGGGGCTCATCTGAGCTGAGCTGGCGAAGAGGCACTCGGACGGCGCTCTCTTGTGGGCTGAAGCTGCTCATGTTGCGAGCTTAGAAGCGGCGAAACGACTTGCATCATTCGGGATTGGTCTTGCTTGATTAAAAGAACAACACGTATTAGCATAGCCTCCCTTTTCCAGAAAAGGGAGCGAGTTCCATGCAGTATATATATGGGCATGTCAGCTGCACTCTACAATACCTGCAAGCTCACTGTCGGAAGTTAACTTGCCAGTTTGGCCGTGAGACGTCTGGGGAATTCTCTGACAATGTAAGACTGTCCTGTCATTCTACCTGGCAAATGCGAGAAAGACTTGCTGTGTGCGGGCATGCGTGCGCCTGTGTGTGTATGGGTCTACGTGGGTGTGGTATGTTGAGGCCGGACCGGGCGGCCACTCTCGTCGCATGCAGTGAAACAACCTCGCTGCTGGCACCCAGACAAGTCTACATGGTGCGGGGCGGCGTCGCTCTCACCGGCACGCTCGTCGTCACTGATATGAATAGTACGGGAGCACATGTGATGGGTTGTGTATGGCATGGTCGGGTTTGTGCCCTGCCAGTGTGCAAAGCGGACGTTGCAGATTCAGTGCTGTTGCTAAGGCATGGCGTTACCCTTGCTACAGCATCATGGACTTGCAAATTTACGAAGCTGTGGCCCCACCTGAGTTCGTCGCTGTGGCTGATAACGCTATCACCTACAGTGACAAGGGAGAGGGAAACACTCTCATGGCAGGTGCGGCGTGATGTTGTCAAATTGTATGAAACGTGGGTGTTCAAGTCTTCTCCGGTCGACGCATTTCTGAAGTGTTGCGCATGTTGCTGTAGGTGGAGATCTCGACGGAGATCACGTCCTCATCAGCTTTTGGAAGAAATTGGTAGAGCTCGTGAAGCTTACCCAGCCCAGTGTGTCCCGCCTGGAGCCTGTGCTGAAGCTCTGTGACTCTGAATTCCTGGGTGCGATTCTTCTGCATGCTACCGCATGGACGGACGCAAGAGCTCACCAAAGAGGCCAGCATGTAATCGTAGTCTCTTCCTGATGTCGGTGTAGTCGCATTGCTTTGAGGCGTACAGCTGATGGAGCATGCGTCTCGGGCAAGCTCCTACAACGTGAAAGGTCACACTTGCGGGCTGCACGAACGCTTTCTCACCAAGGCGGTGCAAGCGGGTAGCTCGACTTGCCTGAAGTCATTAAAACACATTCTGGCTTTTGAGAAGACCCCTTACTCAATGCTCCTGGACTTGTTTCAGGAAAGCCTAGCGAGGATGTTCTCAATGCATTGATGTTCGCCTGCTTGGGCCATCATGTGTCGTGGTCGAAATTTGTTTCGGCTCATTGCTTTGCCTGCTGCTTCTCTGTTTGTTGTTTTGATCGAGAATGAAGAGCGATGTGAGCCCAGGCGATGAACGTTCCTCACAAATGGTCCTTGGAAGAATTTCTGGGCCTCAGACCCACCTTCCTGAACCAATTCGGCATGACAAGGCGGGATCGACAACGCAGCAACCTAAGCTTGATTATTGCAGCCTTGTGCTCAAGCTGCCGTCGCAAGGAAGGACACGCAGCGAATCTCGCAGACCTTGCGACCTCGACTTCAGCTGGATCTGCCTCAGCAAACAAGAGCAGAAGCACTGAAGTTTGCGGTCACTTGGCTCATAAAACTTCATACTCATGTCTTCATTTACACTTCTTTTAGTAAAGGGAAACCTAAGTTCCTGATGTGAGAATCCCTCTAGTAAAGGGAAACCTAAGTTCCTGATGTGAGAATCCCTCTTAAACCTGCGGCGATTCTATACAAATCCTGTCTACACCCCGGCAAAACTTCAGGAGGTGCCAGTTCTCATTGTCTCTTTTCTTATATATTCGCGTGATCCATACTCATTTACCAGCTCCAGCATTGCCTGCACGAGGGGTTGTCTGAATGCTTGAGTGCGGGAACTTGTGGGGTCTGTTCAGAGTCCATGCAGGCCTAAGGAGTATTCCGACGAAGAAACAAAAACACAGACTCTGTTTCTTGTTCTGTGTTACTGCACTCTGGACATGGTCACTGATTCCTGAGGGGAAGCTTCGGGATTTCTTCAGGATCTCTTGGAAGATAAACTTTCCTGACGAACCCTAATCTTTTCCCGACAAATCCAAAACCTCTTCCAATCTTTTACCGGGTTTTTACTGCCGTGTTCCCGAATTTGTTCTGAAAGCGGGTCGCCTGAACCACTTGTGTTTTTTGTGCTTTTTGCTGCAGTTCCAGCAAAAGAATGCCAGTTGAGCAGCAGCTTATGATTCAAGAGAGACACCGAACAACATGTTGCCACTCCTGCTTCAGGTTCACATTTTGTTGACAGAATAAGCAATCCGCCAGACAATCTGCCCATGTGCAATGCATAGTTCTGAAAAATCATGAATTAAGCCCGAGTAAGTCAACATGTCATTCGGGAAATCTCTAAGGAAATCCTAGGGTACATTAATTCTTTCCGTGCCTGAACAGGCACCATCTGAAGCAGCCTCAAAGTGGTTGCCAAAATTGGCTCCCCTGAAAACACCTGCTTTTTCACATCTAACAGTTCCCTTCCCGATCATTGAGACTCAGGAACAAAGGCTTCTGGACGCCAACGACCAGCTTGGCATGGTGTGGCTGCCACCTGGACGGCATGTCCTGGGGGCAGATGCGGCCCGTTTGCTGCGACCACACCTGCTGGAGTCGGTGGCTCCTCATCACAAGAGGCACGTTCACCTATAATTCACTCCAAACACGGCTACCTTGAGTGTTAATTAGTCTTGGAGGTTCGTCAAGGTCAAGGTCGCGCAGGAGATGGCCTGCCTCTTCAAGCATGTCGCAAAGACTGCTTTGAAGACAAACCGTCCGCGACAGTGGCGGCGGCTATCTCGCGAACGGCTGAAGCGCATTAGACCGTCGATTTCTTCTAAGTCTTTGTGAAATGGAGGAGCTTGTCTGCCCTGCTCTACTCGCCCTTGCCTTGACATGCTGGCTTGTGTTGGGCGCCCAGATTCTGACACGTGCTCTGCAATGGTCACACGTGCACGCTTCCAAGGTGGAGTGACGCGGCATCCACACGTGCACTGGCAGGGCCAAAAAAGGAAGCTCTGCCACGTGCATCTTTAGCATGCTATCGTATCGTCCGCAATATTATTCATGTCGCTCCCTCCATATATTCCTTTTTTGAAGTATCTATCATTATATTGGTCCCAAACAATTTTGACATGTTTGGAGGATTTGCTTCCTGGACCGCTAATCGTGTTTGGCGGTTTTATTCTTGGACCGCTGATCATGTTTCGTGGATGTTTTTTGGACCCCTAATCATGCTTGGTGGATTTGCTTTTTGGACCGCATTCATTTATCATGAAGCTTGTTCCGTTCTTCGCCTCCTACGTCTACGTGTTTCCGCTTGTGCCGTCTCATTCGATTTGGGGTTTTCCGATGCTATTCCTGAGCTGTGCTCACAAAGACAGGCAATTTCTATTTATCACTTTCTTGAGGGTTTAGGGTTTAGGGTTTCACCCACATTACCCTAAACCCTAAACCCTATACCCTAAACCCTAAGCCAGGTGTTGTATTGCCTGGTGGCGAGCCCCTGACGCTGTGCGAGGCGCGAGGCTTTTGGACACCCCTTCACTGAGGTGACTAATGCGTGCGCGCATTTGTTTGGAGCCATGGGTAAGCCTCAAAAAGCATAGGCTTTGGAACTTCGGAGCATTAAGGCGTTTCTTATCATAGCGAAGAGATTGCAGAGGCATCTAAACCCTAAACCCTAAAGCCCCCTCCCAACCAGGTAGGCCGTTTGTACAAGTCTGGCCCTAAACGCGTTCAAAGCCGGGAGGGTTCGAGCCCAGAGACTCCAACATCCATCAATTAAGGAATGTGTCTTAAGTCATGTTCGGGGTCCTGATAAAGCAGTCATACTTGCAAGGTTAGTAGGAAGAGTAATCACATTAGATGCTATGGACCTCGTCCTTCGACTCGCCACTTCCACCGCGTATCCACAACAAGCCCAGCACCCCTCAAGCCCGGCTTGGGATTTAGGGTTTAGAATTCAGGATTTAGGGTTCAGGGTTTAGGATTACTGGGTTAGTTTAGGGTTTAGGGTTAGTATGGGGCTTAGGGTTAGGGTATGGGGTCTAGAGTTCCACTTCCACCGCCTATCTACAATGCGTCCAGCCCTCCTCAAGCCCGGCTTAGGGTTTAGGGCAGTTTAGGGTTTACGGTTAGTATAGGGTTTAGGGCGGGGTTTCTAGCTGTCTGGAATCGAAAAGCAACGCTGGGCAGCGTGCACTTCGAGTGTGGTTTAGAAAGATAGTCAACCGAGTTGCGGATAGGTTACATTGATAAGTACATGTATAGGTGCACGGAAGGATTCACGTGTAGGGACCTATCTCAAACCCGATAGTGGACAGGTAGGTGTCTCTCGACGAATGACAGAGACGGCTACGTTTCATCTTCGTCTTCTGCAGTTCTTAAGGTGTACCATCACTTATGCTGTGAGTGCAGCCGGGGTCAGCATCACAAAGGGGCATGCTGCTAGTGAGCTCAGCATACTGTGTTCAGCTTGGTGCCTTAACGGTTTGACGTGGTGTTTTAAGGCTTAGTTTCATGAAGACAGTGTGTTCCTGGGAACGTTTGGTCTCTAGTTTGGCAACAGCTACCTCTCGACTCAAGGGTACTTACACGACTCGGGCGGACCGGTGAGATTGCAATGAAGTTAGCACTAGACTGATGTTGCAGGATTTTGATTTCAGTGAAGCTAATACTACAACTGGGTTGCGCTTTGGGATAAATGTATATTTCCTGTATTTCCCTTATAAATAAGGGTTTAAAGCACAACCCAGTACAATGTAAGTCTCAAGGTTGGGGTTTAAGACATTGACTCCTGAGCTCCGTTTGGGTTTAGGCTCCTGAATTATGGGGTTTAGGGTTTCTGGTTTAAGGTTTAGGGTTTTTCTTGAATTATGTCGATGGATCGAAGGTTTGGTCGTGTAACTCTGGGTTTTAGGTTGAATGTTTGGTCGTGAAACTCCAAGACCCGAACCGTGACCCAGCGCCGACAGACCAGAAACAGGTTTTGGTTTTGCGGAGAGAGCCCCTAAGAAAACTAAACCCTGCGCCAAAAGCGACCTCAGAACCCTAAGAATCCCAAGAACCCTAAGAAACCCAAGAGCCCTACGACACCTAAGAACTCCCAAGAAGCCTAAGAACCCTTAATTAGAAACATAAGAACCCTTAGAAACCTAGGAACGCTAAGAGGCGTAAGAACCCTAAGAAGCCTATGAAAACCTCAAGAAACCGAAGACCCCTAAGAAACCCAAGAACCCTAACAAACCTAAGGAACTCTAAGAAACCGAACAACCATAAGAAGCCTAAGACCCCAAAGAAAGCTAAGAACTCTAACTCTAACGGTTGATGGTATAAATCCTGCATGACCCTAAGGACCCTAAACTATCGGAATTGTGGTATATTCCTTGTGATGAGAAATGCAGGATTTATATCATCAACCGAAGAACCCTATCAGCCCGACGAGCCCTAAGCCCAAAGAGCCCCAAGAACCTTAAAGGCTAAGAGCCCTAAGAACCTTAAACCCCAAGAGCCTTAAGAGCTTTTCAGAATCTAAATGAAACCCTCAACCCCAGGAGCTTCAAGAACCCTAAAGCCTAAACCCTAAGAGTTAGAAGGGCCCCCCCCTGTAATAGTGGTATAATAGGAATATAATAGGGCCCTAATAGAATCCTTGTAGTCACTATTACAGGGTGGGGGCAGCTTCTGACCTAAGAGCCTTAAGCCAGCTTGAACCCTAAACCCTGAACTTTAAACCCTAAAACCCTAAACCCTAAGCCCTAAACCTCAAACCCCTAGACCCTAAGCCAGCTTGAACCCTAAGTTCAAAAAGCTTCAACTTTGCTCCAGGTGGAGGCCTTCACCTTCCGCGTGCTCTAGGGGAAAAGCAACGGATTGGCCGGGGTTTAGGGCTTTAGGGTTGGGGCTTTAGGGTTTAGGGTTCAAGGCTTTAGGGTCTAGGGCTTTTAGGATTTAGGACTGTAGGTCCAGGCTGGGGTTTTAGGGTTGAGGGCTGGAGGGTTTAGGTTTATAGAAATTGTATAGGGTTTGGGTCCGGAGTTTTCGGTGGTTTTGGGGGGTTTTGCCGGGTTTTGTGGGGGTTTGGTTTTGCTTTTGCATTTTGGTTTCTGGGATTTGGGGGACGGCTGGTGGGTGTTGTTTTTGCTTCGCTTTTTGGCTGGCTTGACTGGCTGGGCTGGGCTAGGCTGGGTTGGGCTGGTAGGCTGGGTTGGGCTGGTAGCTGAACTGGGGGCTGGCTGGGTGGGCTGCGCGGGGCTGATAGAAATTGTATAGGGTTTGGGTCCGGAGTTTTGCAGGGTTTTGTGTTTTGCTTTTGTAATTTGCTTTCTGGGATTCGGCTGGTGGGCTTTGTTTTTGCTTCGCTTTTTGGCTGGCTGGGCTAGGCTGGGTTGGTAGCTGAATTGGGCTGGGCTGGCTGGTAGCTGAACTGGGCTGGGTGGGCTGGGAAGTTGCATAGGGTTAGGGTCCGGGGTTTTGAGCGGTTTCGTTTTTTGCTTTGGTGTTTTGATTTTGGGAGTGGGCTGGGACTGGGGCTGGCTGGCTTGGGGCGCTGCTGGGCTGGTGGGCTGGGCTGGGGTTGGGGCTGGGGCGGGGGCTGGACCTGGGGCTGGTTGAGGGCTGCTGAATTGGGCTGGGCGGGTGTGTCCTTCCACGCACACGTTTAAGGAAAATTCGAAAATATTGAAGCTGCAGTCCATTTCGAAGCGGAAGACACACAATTTCTATTTATCCTGCTCTTGAGGGTTTAGGGTTCAGGGTACAAGGCTTAGGGTTGGCTTTATAGGGTTAGGGGTGTCGGGCTTCTGGGCGTATGGGTTTTTGGGTTGCAGATTTTGGGCTTAGCCTTCAGGTTTAAGGTCTAGCTGAATCGGAAGGTGTTTTGGGGAGCAGGTGTTTTGTTTTGAAGGTGTTTGGTTTAAAGGTGTCTCAGGGCTTGGGGTCAGGTTTAGGTTTCAGAAGTTTAGCCTAGTGCATGGGGTTCAGCATCCGGTATACTTGCCACGGGGCCAATATGCCTGACCACAAACCCTAAACGCTGTTTAAACTCAAGCCCTACTTGGAGGTTCCTGGGTAGTTATAAGTGGGGTTGCAAGTCCCACAATATGGGTTATAGGTATAGTTACCCTACTTACAACCCTACTTATAACTACCCATGAACCCTAAACCCTACAGATCCCTTTAAAGGAACCCTACTTATAGCTACCCATGAACCTCCAAGTAATCCCTGGCTGCCCTTTCAAAGGCTGCCATGGCAGCTTAATGTCGGTTGGCTCTCGGATGTTTCGGGCTCTTCGAAGCAAGGTCACCATGGGTGGTAAATATTAGGTGCCGTCCTGTATTAGTGACCAAAAAAGGGACCATAATTTTGACAACCACCCACGTGGTTTTGGCAGGATCCTGAATGATTCCAGTAGGGATTTCTTCGGGGATGATCATACCGTATTCACCGCTCCCTTAACAGAGCCGAACCAATAGAAAGCTGCATTAGAATTGCGATGAGGGGGAGCCTTTGCTGTTGGCTTTTGGTCTTTCGCGATATACATGTAGTTTCACGAGCTGATGTCTGCGTGCGATCCACAGTGCGCGTTGTCATCCCTTGATGAATGCTTGTGATGTTGCAGGTTCAAGCCCCTTGTGGCTGACAAATACGTAGTTAGGCAAAGATGTCGGACACCGTAGTGGTGTGCGCCTCGTGTCCGGAGAAGTTCCACGATGAAGCTGCTCAACTTTGTGCCGGCAGTGGCATGCTGAAGGCATTTGGCAAGTCCGGTGACATGGTGAACTCGCTCAGTGGCAAGGACTCTCGGCGTTCTTCTGGTTGGCCCTTAGGACTTTAACTTTTTGGGTTTCTATATGAACGACAATAATATTAAGGAGGCTAGCAGTTTAACCTTTAGGAGGGGTTCAGAAGTCAGCTAAGGACTGGGTTGCCAAGTGGGAGGCCAAGGTGGTCACCTGCGTAGTCACGGCGGTGCGTCTTGTGGGCGCCCAGAAAGCGCGGATTCTTTGCGTGGAAGGAGGCGCACGCTTAGGGTTTGGGCACTCGTTATTCATTGTACTATACATCGGACACAAAAATACCTTGCCCGCTAAGGACCTTTGGGACCCCCCTTCAAGGCTTGGATGTATACTGTATAATCAAGTACTCTACCCTAACCCCCTAAACCCCTCTGGCACCCTCACAGTAGACCCTTCTAATACCCTTCTAGAGCCCATATCGTACCCTTGCGGCACTTCATAACTTCAGTAATCTCTATACCCTAAATCCTAAACTCTAATGAAACCCCAAACCCTTAACCTTGAATCCGCGACCCTCAACCCCAAACCCTAAACCCCAAATGGGAGTTTCCGAAATTTAGGGGTACCTTGTTTTGGAGTCCTTATAATAAGGATCCTACTATTTTGGAGTCCTTATGATAAGGATCCTACTCTTCAGGGTCCCCTATGTTCAAATCCTATGCCGCCCAAAAGGAAAGCATTGCGATTTGGAGCTGGCCGCGCAGCCGAAGCTGGTCCGGGCCATCCGCACCGAGCTGGAAGATCAGGAGTTCCAGGCACTTCTTCTACGAAACCTGATATAGGCTTGAATGTATAATGAATAGAGAATTTAAGTGATCAAAATATGTATCCATGTAGAGAGAGAGAGAGAGAGAGAGAGAGAGAGAGAGAGAGAGAGAGAGAGAGCGAGAGCGAGAGAGACAGAGAGATCCTTGTATGTATGTACAAGTATATGTAGTTATATGTACATGTATATGTCATTATATGTATATGTATATGTATAATGTGTATATGTATTTGTCTTTCTGGAAAGACGAGATAAGAGTGCTAGGGTGGTTTAGGGTTTAGGGAGGTATAACGCCTGAAATACTAATGGCAAAATGACCACAATCATAGCCAGAGTTATGATAAGCAAAATCATGGCCGGGATGCTATTCATATGGTGAATCGACGGTTCCCTTTCAGCCCTACACCCTGCAGCCTGAGTCTCTTCTGTCTCGCTGAGTTGCAAGGTGCGGGTCGAGTGGATGGGTTATGTCGACCTCAAGCACGAGGCTAGCGCTCTCTGCAAGGCCAAAACGACGGCTTCCAAGAAGGGCTCCCAAGCTCCTCCAGCCGCACCGCCGAAGCAGAAGTTCGAGGACAAGGGCAAAGCAGCGCTTTGCAAGTACTTCGCCGAAGGCAAGTGTACCAAAGGCAAGGCCTGTACCTACTCCCATGTGAACCCAGAGACTACGAACCAAAACGCCAAGAATCAGATGAAGCCTTGCAAGTATTTTGCTGCTGGCCAGTGCGACAAGGGGGCTGCCTGCACCTACGCTCACACCACTCCAACGCTTGTGGCTGAGAAATCCAAGGCCGATAAGCAGTCAACCAGACAAGAATCGAATCCGCCTGTTTCCGGATGGGCATTCAAGTGCGCCGGCTGCCAATCATTTCCCATGCAGGGCAAGGCAATTTTTAGGTGTATGGACTGCGACGACTTCGTTTGCTCAAGATGCCAGAGTCGCAAGGCTTTGGGGGGGAGCATAGCGTTTTGTGGTGTTATCATGTAAACGTAAAAATGCATGTATGCAGGCCTCTTTGCGCTACAGCATGCTTGGATCTAGCTTCTCAGAGAAGACATAGCTGTTGCCCCTGTGAGGCCGAGTTCCATGATCCATCTCACAAGTTCACTCAGTTCCACGCCGGACCTCCGGAGTACTACATATGTTCACAAAAGGGCTGTAAGGCGTCGCTTTTCGAAGACGAGAAGGAACTGGGTCTGCATCAGAGGCAAAGCAAGCACTCAGGTTCAGTTTGGTGTATGCTGAGATGCTTTCAGTGCGAAAAAGACTTCGAGAACTTTAATGCTTTAGTTCAGCACTGTGCCGCGAAGAGCCACGATCCCTTGTGGCACTTGTGCAAGGCCTCCAAGAAGTCAAAGGCCAAAGCAAAACCAGCTTCACAGCCCCAGCGCGGCAATGGCCAGGCAAAGAGTACCATCAGCATTTGTCCCGTGTGTTTGAAGGATTTCAGCACCATGGAAGCTATGGAGCAGCACATGCGGGATGCAGGCCACGGCATGGGCATTCGGCCACCAGGCAGTGTTCAATGCGGAACCTGCGACAAGTGGTTTGCCTCATCGCAAGCTTGTTTGCAGCATATGGAAGATGCCCATGGAGATGTGCTGACGGTCGGAGGAATGCCTGCCAGCCGTTTTTTACAACCAGGTGAAAATTTTTACTTGATGGGTTAAGTATTTCAGCTCTCCTCACCCAAAGGGTGAGGTACCCTTACATTCGTTGAGATGCTGGCCGTGAACTTGCGAATGTAGAGGTGGAGCCTCCGATTCGCATACTGCATTAGAAACAGTCATGAGAAACCAAGATTACTCTTTTGCAAGCAGGTGTCTAAAGATTTTCTAGAACTTTTATCTTTTGCAATATTAAAAGATAACATCTCCTATTTTTGTTTCAAAAAATCTTGAAAACATTCCCTGGTTCAGATATTCCTACTTTATAGGTCTACCACTTACAGCAATAAATTGACTATTTCAAACAGAAACAATTTTGAATAGTAATGTCCTTGGAAACTTCCCGATACAAGAAAAATATGATAAGAACAATCAAAAATGTCAGCCCTAATAACTATAGTTGGTAAGTAGAATTTTTGAATACGTACTATTTGTTCGTAATTGGAATACAGGAAATATTGTTAGATTCTAATCTTTATATCGAGATAGATACCTGTAGTAATCGTATTATTTCAGAACGTTCTATAAAATTAAAGTTTGGGTAAGTTTTAATTATACCATGTATTGTACGGGTGATTTCTGATAGAAGGAAGAGAATATTGTTTTCTGTTCTTTCTAGGGCGCTTGTGAATTTTGGTGTTCTCGGTCTTTCCCTCCCCCCGTTTGTGAGATGGTTTGGTGCGGCGGGGTTGGTGCGGGCAAAGAGGGGTTGGGCTGAGGATATTGAGACCGCGGAGGGCGTATTGAAGTTATTTCGATCTATTTTGTTAAATATATATATATATATATATAGAATGTATGCGACGTTATTTCTTATATTGAAACGAGTGCCGGCTCTATGGCTAGCACGTTTTTGATACTGAGAGTTATGAATCTCTGCCAAAAGTTTATATATATATAGATAGATAGATTATTCACGCGAGTGAGTCGTTTTTTATGTAATGATACGATTTTTTTTTTAACGAACTCAGAATTCATCGAACGACTACAATTGGTCCTATTAATATTGAAGAAAAAACATCTAGAATTATGTATTATCTCGTTCTAAAAACATAATATAATAATTCGAATTCTATTGAATTATTCTACTGCTATATACATGAATCTAGATAAATACTTAATAATACGTCCCTACGATTTTTCGACTCCCAAGACTAAATTATAGGACCGGATAACCCCACATGACAGCGATACTCTTTTCAGCATCAAAGCAGTGCAAAACATAGTGGTCTTGATAGGTAACGATTCGAGATGTGCACACTCTGCCTGGGCGTTTGTGTGCGCGTTGAGTATGTGTGTGTGTGTGTTGTGTGTGTTGTGTGTTGTTTGTTGTGTTTGTTGTGTTTGTTGTGTTTGTTTGTTGTGTGTTGTGTGTTGTGTGTTGTGTGTTGTGTGTTGTGTGTTGTGTGTTGTGTGTTGTGTGTTGTGTGTGGTGTGTGGTGTGTGGTGTGTGGTGTGTGGTGTGTGGTGTGTGGTGTGTGGTGTGTTGTGTGTGTTGTGTGTGTTGTGTGTGTTGTGTGTGTGTTGTGTGTGTTGTGTGTGTTGTGTGTGTATGTGTTGCGTGTTGTGTGTGTTGTGTGTATTGTGTGTGTGTGTTGTGTGTGTTGTGGGTTGTGTGTGTTGTGTGTTGCGTGTTGCGTGTGTTGTGTGTCGTCCGTGTTGCGTGTGCGTGTGTGTGTGTGTGTGTGTGTGCGTGTCTGTGCGTGTCTGTGTGTGTCTGTGTGTGTGTCTGTGTGTGTGTGTGTCTGTGTGTGTCTGTGTGTGTCTGTGTGTGTCTGTGTGTGTATGTGTGTGTCTGTGTGGGTCTGTGTGTGTTTGTGTTTGTCTGTGTGTGTCTGTGTGGGTCTGTGTGTGTGGGTATGTGTGGGTCTGTGTGT